GCTTTCACTCCTCGTGAAGCTTTGGACTTTTGTTTTTGACTTTTGTTTTGCTCTTCTTAATATAGTTCATCACCTTCATAAAAAAAATAAATCAATGACCATCATTAAGCTCCACAGATCCAACGGCTAAAAAAATGGCGGCACTAATGTCGTGCCGGTACCATAGAAATGGCCATTACTTCTACATATATTATTTGATGCCAATTCATGCCGTATGAGGAACATTGACAAGAATTTGATTGTAACGCTTATAACATATACCAAACACAAGAATTCATTTGACAATGAATTCTACACAGGAATTCATTTTAAAACGAAATGATTCTACATTCATTTGGTACCAAATGGTCTGTTAAAGTATTTCAGTGAAAATCAAGTTCATGGTCTTGTAAAAAAGCCTACCAGGTCATGGCTTGGTCCACAATGCTTAGCTGGTTAAGAGTCAATTCCATACCTTCTTCCTTTTACGAGAGTGGAAAAGAAGAAGCCACTTTCGGATTTTTTCCAGAAATAGCAATGTTTATTTTTTTTACAAAAATAGCACTCAATCCCGAAAATTCCAAAAATAGCACTCAATCCCAAAAACCGCCACCCCACTAAGTGGTTTACACGAAAACCGCAGGGTGGGGCGTGGTTTCCAATGAAAATCGCATGCGTAGGGGGCGGTTTTGCTGACCGCATTGGGCTGGGGCAGTTTGGTTGCAAACCGCACCCCCATCCGACGGTTTGTAATATATATATAGGTGGGTGTGGTGGTTCGTAATATATATATATATATATTTCCTGCATAAATGTCATAAGTGGTCTTGACACAATTTGTTTAGTTTTTATTGTGTGTAAGAAGTCTTAGGTTCGAAACACTATCCTCTCATATTAAATCTTTTTATTTAGTAGAGATTAAAAAAGCAGCATGTTGTGGGTGTGGTGGTTCGAACCTAGATAATAAATAATTAACTAAATTTAGCACAACATCAACAACACAAAACTACAACTCTTATGTTGAAATAATTACATATTGAAAAAGTTTTAATCCTTGAACACTAAAAATCCTCAATAACTTTGAACAACCATAACTTTGTGCTACAAAATCCGAACGTAATAAAGCATATTTGCCTAGCATTGCCTTGTTACTTCCACCTATTATTATACTTTATCTTGGCGCAACATTCTTCTTTTGATCTTCCTTTTATTTCCTTTTATTTGAGAGATTCTTCTTTTGATCTTTCTTTGATTTAATAAATCATGTGATCACATATTTATAACTATAACTATAACAAGTAGTAGAGTTTAGAAGGATTTTACAATGACTATTACCTTTTTGATAGACGAATGCAGAAAGAGAAACCATCTTTTTTTCACAACACTTCATAAGATTTGTGTCGAGAAAAATTACGGTTGATAATCTAGTTGGAACCCAAGAGAACCAGTAAATAGACAAAGCACTCGGCTCCAATTTTGGCACCAAGATAGCGAAGTTGGCGTTTCCTTTATGTCTTGTGAATTTTGGAAGTTTGAACCTGCATACTTCAATAAAATTTTGATAATTTATCGTCGGGATTACAAATATGAAATATCATATTGGCAAATATAGTAGTGTCGACCTGCATGCATCTTCAAAGAAAACAAATTTGTTTCTACTAGAGAAGTCCAATTGAGGTTTGCAGATTGCGGTGAAATTGGGTTTATGAGAGTACAAGACAGTTCATTTCATGTTACCACAGAAGCACGACATAAATAATATTAGATTACACATTGGTTATTTGAGTTGCATAGATTATGCAACAATTTGATAAGTACCCTCTTATCCTAATTTTTATGAGTTCATGTGGAAAAGAAATTCGGTTTATAATGAAGTCATAGACTCCCTCGTGATTATCTTTCGAATCATGTGTTTGTGTTTCGTACTTTAGGAACAAGAAGATGTGGATCCTCGGAAAGGCCAATGAAAAGAGTCGGAAATATAAAGAAAGCTGAACTTGATTTTTTATGTTCGGTTTCTAATAAAACTCATCCCTTGTGACAAGAAAATTACAGGCCGTGGATAACCATGTTTCGTACATAGAATTTTCACTAGCCAGCCTCTCCAAAAACAACAGTTTTCATCCTACTTTATATAGAATAAGAGAAAGGTTGAGAATGAAAGTGCATGCATATATATATATATATATATATATGGTGACGTCTTCGGTGCACTCACTTTTTTGGGTGCATTCAGTGCATTCGCTTCATAACCTTTTAAACATGCGATTTATGTCAAAATGATGTCAATCATCACTTATGATGTGATGAACAATAACGCACATGAATTTGCACAAAAATCATTAAAGATTTACTTTAATTTGAAGGATTTAGAGTTTAGAGATTTAGGGTTAGGGTTACACTAATTCTACAAATTAAAATTCAAATTTGACACCTTAAGACTAGTTTTTGAGTTGGGTGCATTGAACGCACTCATTTTTGTGAGTGCACCGAAGTAGTCACTATATATATATATATGGTTCAGGCTAGCGTACGCCTGGGCGTACGCTAATCTACCGTACGCCCCATTGAGTTTTGCTATTTAGATCATGAATTAATTGGAGTTTGAGGCATGATACTATACCCTAACCTCTAATGGATGAACCCCAGTCCCTAATTTTCCAACCCAAATTGAAAAATTCGTTTAATCTTAAAATGAAAATCAACGATAATTTCAATGAATCAGAATCATTGATTTTCATTTCAAGATTAAATGAAACTTATGGTTTGGGTTAGTGTATTGGGGATTGGGATTGACACATTAGGAGTTAGGGTATAATATTATGCCCCAAACTCCGATTAATTCATGATCTAAATAGCAAAACTCAATGGGCCACTCAATTCACCTAACGTGCTCTATTCTCCATGCCTGCTTTTCTATCTCATTAGTTTCCGTCACCACTCACCAGAGATGCATTTTCTTTGAAGGAGATCGAAGTAGAGATGGCGTCAGTTCCTTTCACCACTTGCCTTTTAGTTTCTCTTTCCTCCATCTCTCTTCTCATTCAATCTGATATTCTCTCCTTTTCCCCATTACTTGCTGCAGGTGAAAAAATCCCTCTCTCTTCTCACCCCCAGTTTCATATCGGCAACGAAAGAGGATACTTGGACGGCAGAGAGCTGGAGTTGGGCGTGTTCGTAACTTCCAGAAGGTTTACTCCGCCCCGCGCGTCTGTGCTTCCCCGGCCGCATGGACGCCGTCGCCACCATCCGATCAAGCTGCTACCACCGCCTCATCTCATCTCATCTCCTCTTCTCTTATTCTTCTTCTCTCCCCGACGACCAGAATGGCTCTCCCGCGCCCTTTCCACTTCCCTCCATGCTCTGTTCACCGTCTGCTGCCGCTGGTCCCACCTCCTTCCTTTCCCTCTGTCCCCTGCCCCACTCTCTTTGACTTCTCTTCCGATGACTCGATTGCTTCCCCTGTCACCGTTTTATGGATTATGTTGTTTTTGTAGGCTTAAGTTGCAGTTAGAACAATGACGGTGATGGTGGCCACGAGAATCAGAAAGGAAGAGGTGGGGAATTCCCAGAGCGATGCGGCTTGGAATTTTGCCGATTTATTTTTCTTTTTCATCTATTGTTCACCCAGATCTGTGTGTTCCGGTGAGCTTTGATCTCATTTTTTGGGCTTAGGATAGGGCGAGTAACCATTGGTTACTAACCTATGAGTAGCTAAATCTCGACCTTTAGATCTAAGTGGGTTCAGAAAATTCAGATCTAAGGGTTGTCAATTAAAAGCATTTTATTTTTCATAGTTTTCATAATCGGCTCTTATCTTCTTCGTTCTAACTCGGATTTCAATTTTTTTTGCACATATGGAACGAGTTTGTTGTGCTCTACAAAATGAGATCAATTTTCAATATATTTCGAGAAACTTTTTTTTTACCAACGGCATACCATATGGTAACTTCTTCGTTTTTAAGTCGTTTTTGAAAACGTTTGCTCAGAAGGAATGAGTTCATCATGATCTATTGGATCTACAAATTTCTGGGTGAAAAAAATACTAGACAAAAAATTACCACACTTTACCACTATGGTATGTAGTGGTAACTTATGGTAAACAATGATAAAGGTCGTAAATGACAGTTAGTATACTCCTACGATCATGTATTCAACCTTCTTACCATATTGGTATGTTCATACCACCATGGTACGCTTTCTTACCATATGGTATTAAATATGAGCATACCATATGGTAATGACTGGTAAAAAATTATTCAATTTTTTTGTACTAAAAATATATGAAAGTTGATATCATTTTAAAGAGCACATTTAATCTGATTTATCTGTGCAAAAAAAATTTAAATTTCGACTTAAAACGAGAGAGAAATCATCCGTTAAAGATTAAAGGGGAACAAATAAAAAGACTTTCCAGGAGAGAGGGCATGCTGATGTCATGTGGATGTGGACAGGTTACTGATGGTTACCATATGGGTTACCGACTTGATCCGCTCCCCATTTTTTGTTATACTGTTTTTCTATTCTATTTGGATTGTGAACCCCGTCTTTCCCCATTTCCACTTGCAGATCTGTTGTATTGATCAAGGTTCCATATAATTTTCGCCGTGACTTTGTCTTCAGTGAAGATGTTTACCAGAGACATCGATTAAGGTTATCCCTCTCCTCGATGGTTTTGCTTATCTATTATCTTCCCCTTTCTCTGTCTCCTGTTATCTATCCTCTTTACTGATCCATGGTTTATGTTTGATGCTTTTGACGGCGATCCTGTATTTTGGAGTATGAGAAGGGTGAATGTAACGCCAGGCTTCTTTAACTAAACGTACAATGATAGAGATGGTTAGTCTGGTGCCATCAGTATAGATTGCATACAATCTCCAATGATAGAGATGGTCACTGCATTAGATCTCTTCTGACTTCTGAGGGAGCCGCGCTTGCAACCTGTTGGGGGTGTTACTAAATACTCCACGCGCGGACTAAATAAGGGCGCGCTCAATCGGTAACGTGCTCCGGACGAACGCCACTACGAAGTATTTAAAGGCATGAAACTCCCCATTGAAAGAGACTTCTTCTCTCTCCAGCACTTTCCACTTTCCCTTATCTCTCTACACTTTATCTCTCTACCTTATTCTCTCAACTCTCTCCCCGAACTTAAACTAACTTGATCGTCGGAGCTTAATCCGGGGGGCATCCCCGGTTCTTTCACAGGTTCTTCCCTCCCGACGAGATCAGACGAACGGATCGTGAGTCAACCCCACACAACAATCTTTATTATTCATACCACGAGCGAGATGGTACAAACAATTGGCGCCCACCGTGGGGCTGATAGAGACTCGTGCGTTTGATTGCTTAAGGAGGAAGAGCTCGTAATCTGAAGAGAAGACAGAGGCTTGATAAAAAAAAAAGCTAGCTGCATTTGAAGAAGCGGAAAAAACTCTTTCTTCCCCACCACCACCGCCGACGATCATGCCACTGCTCGTCCCCGCCATCACATCCCGCCGTCGACGCCAGTTATCGGCCGCCAGGTCGTGCTCTAATCCTCTGTCCCAAAATCTTTGAGAAAGACAACACCATCTCCGTCGACTCCCGCCGACTTTGGAAACCTCGACAAAGAGAAGAGGAAACAACCGCTGACGCCGGAGAAGATCAGTACAAGCCCAAAGTTCAATCCAATGGCCCGATGAAGTGATGAACACACGCCAAAAAAAAAAAAAGAAGGTGAATCGGCAGGATGAAGAGAAAACAACGAAGATGTGAAAGTAGAAATCCTGTCCAGATTCCGTCCACTCTGCTAGTCGGAGTGTTAGCGGCACCGGAGCTTGGATGAAAGAGAGAACTCGGCCTCACCAGTCACCATCGCCAAGCTCTTGTCCCATCACCCTTTTTCAATTCTCCCAAAAAGTAGATTTGACAGCTGTCTTTCTGCCACGCCTCCCTGTCAGACTAAGGGGACGGACGATGTCCCTGGTACAGAGAACGAAGCTTTCAAGACAAAACTTTTGGATGCTAGGCTGGAAACCCAGCAAAGCGGCAAGGAGGAGAGCGCGCCTTCCGTGTCTCCTTGGCAAAGCTTCTTTCTAAACAGCGGCGCGATCACAGCCTCTCCGCGCTGTCTATTTTCTCAGCACCTTAATCTTCTCTTACCGGCGGCGCCAATCGATGACATCAATTACCGCCGCGCGACCGTAATTTCAACATCTCCCCTCGGCGTAATCGACGTTGTCAGCCGAACCCCGCACTCATTGACCGGGGCGTCGCGCTTCCAGTCTACTCCTCTTCTCCCTCCTTAAGCGGCTTTCATCACCACCAGTTCAGCTCTCTCCGCTCTTCGTCAATGGTTGCGCTACCGCCGAATCGTCCCCCGCCAAATCTGAACTCTCCGTGCATCACCCGACCAATCATCTCCGCCAATGCAAGGATCCAAATCGACCAATCAATCTCGCTTGGACCCGCGCTCCACACAATCGACTCGCCGCTTCAAACCACCGGTCGCCAAGAGTGATTCTGCCGCGAGCCCTGCTCCACCAATACCCGTGCTCGCGGAGAAAAGAAAGGAGCCACTCGTCGCGGAGAGCACCGTTCGAAGCGCTGCCGCGCGTGCCGTCCGAAGCACCGCGCTCACCTCAGCCCAAAGAAGCTCCGCGCGGCGATAATTTGCGGGCGGGAGGGAGAATGAACGCGGCGAAAAAAAAAGAAGAAAAAAAAGAGTACAAATCGCACTTCTAGCTCCGCGCGTTCCGTTCATCAATGGGCTCCCAACCCAAACCGCGTCTCATGGGCCACCTCCATCTCACGGCCCGCACAACTAGGCCCAAGCGGAGGTCCGAACTAGCGTGCACGACCTGCGCCACTACATGGGAACGCGCCGCCCCACGCGCGAGCCCAACTCGTCGCCTTCTGCATCCAAGCCCGCATCTCACCAGCCCGGGCCAACTCGCGTCCAGCGTCACGCGGCCCATCCTTGCCCCACACAACTGGCCCACGCGGAAGTCCCAACTCGCGGGCATCCAACAAATCAGCACTCTTCAAAAAATTGTAGTCGCCGCGAAGACTCGAACCCGTGCCACTCCTCCCCTAAACAAGCAACGTCACCAGCAGGCTACATGCACGCTTGGTGATCATTGGGCGCAGTACTCTCATATCAACGAACCCGCGCCATCACCAACTCGCGTCAAAGGGTGCAGCGTCTGCATTTTAACAACTCTTCGCGCCATCACCAACTTCTGCTCCAAGGGCGCAGCGTCTGCATTTTAACAACTCTTCGCGCCGCTTCGCCAATAGAAAGCTAAGTACTCTATCCCTTTATCACTATCAAATATTGAAATATTTTACTCTCATAAGCGTTAATGGCGCTAAGGGAGAGGGCACATTGCCTCGAAGACTCCAAACTGAGGGTTAAAAACCCCGACGAGGAGGGCTCCAAACTGAGGGTTAAAAACCCCGACGAGGAGCCACAAATAAGTCTCAACGAAGCACACAAATAAGACTTCAATAAGAGCATCGAAGACTCCAAACTGAGGGTTAAAAACCCCGATGAGGAGCTACAAATAAGTCTCAACGAAGCACACAAATAAGACTTCAATAAGAGCATCGAAGACTCCAAACTGAGGGTTAAAAACCCCGACGAGGAGCTACAAATAAGTCTCAACGAAGCACACAGATAAGACTTCAATAAGAGCATCGAAGACTCCAAACTGAGGGTTAAAAAAAAAACCCCCGACGAGGAGAGCTCCATGAAGAATCTATAATGAGTGAAGGCTACACGCCTTAATGAAATACACCAACTGGGGGGCAAGACGCAAGAAGCTGGCACCGCGTCAGTCAAACGCGCCACCAGCTGGGGGGCAACTGGGGTACATAGGGCTCCACCCAAAATTACCGACGAAGATTTAAAAATAAAAAAGTAATAAGCTAGCGATGAGTTATGACTCACCACCAGCTTGGGGGGCAATTGTTGGGGGTGTTACTAAATACTCCACGCGCGGACTAAATAAGGGCGCGCTCAATCGGTAACGTGCTTCGGACGAACGCCACTACGAAGTATTTAAAGGCATGAAACTCCCCATTGAAATGGACTTCTTCTGTCTCCAGCACTTTCCACTTTCCCTTATCTCTCTACACTTTATCTCTCTACCTTATTCTCTCAACTCTCTCCCCGAACTTAAACTAACTTGATCGTCGGAGCTTAATCCGGGGGGCATCCCCGGTTCTTTCACAGGTTCTTCCCTCCCGACGAGATCAGACGAACGGATCGTGAGTCAACTACACACAACAATCTTTATTGTTCATACCACGAGCGAGATGGTACAAACACAACCAATGTTGGATGGTGTAATATAATCCAATCGTTGTTATTTGTTTATTATTATTATTATTATTATTATTATTATTATTATTAAGAGGTTGATGTGTGGAGGAATTCCATCGTAATGTGGTTGAACTTTGGAACTGTGCAAGGTGTTTCTTTTCAGCTTTGACAATGTATGCTCTATGTTTTCCTTCTCTTTTCATTCTTCTCTTCCCTCTTTGGTAGTTGTTTTGGTTTCAGTTGGTGAGCAAATATTTTTGCTTCTATTTCAACTTTCATAATTTTGATTAATATTTTAAATTTTAACTCCAATGAGAAAAATTAAATAACAACCAAATTTTATTGATAAAATTTCAATACATTTATTCTTAAAATATATGAATACATTGCCCATAAATACGAAAAATACATAAAGAATACATAGTGTTTACGAAGCTAAATCATCTACCCATGCTGGTTACTCCGCTACAGCCTATCACTGACGGACCAAGACCAAATCTCGTCCAAGTGCTTATCTTCTCCTTTTTTTTTTTTTCCTTGGGCGGAATCCAGAAATCATTAATTCATCCGCTTCCAACTGACTTCCGCAACTCTCAACTTCCCTTCCCACAAGTCACCGCTTACTCCAAGCTCGCTGCTGCAAGTCTTACAAGTTCCAATTCAGCAAGTGAGATAGACTGGATTTCTCCCTAAAAACAAAATGTAGATGCATGCAGCAATAGAAATCAGCTAACTAAAGCAGGATGGGGATGAATCCAGGGGAGAAGAAATTAGAATAGTCGGTTTCAGCTTTGGTTTTTCTTGAAACTGGGAGAGTTTTAGAGAAGCAAAATGCAATTGAGACAAAAAAAAAAAAAAAAAGGTACATAGATGCATGCAGTGACAGCAACAAACAAAATTGGGCAGATTTGGGATTTTGAAGAAAGAAGGGGAGAAGAATATGTATGACAAGAAACCATACCTTCTATCCTTTGATTTGAGAAATCCTCCGGCGGGCAACAATACCACCTTTTTCTTCTTCTTTTTCGTTGAAGGCTTGAACAGCGGCGGATCCAGAACACAGAAGTGCACTGGGCCGCATTTTATTAGAAAATTATAATAGTAAAAAATATAATGATTATAATTTTTTTACAATGTAAATTGTACACGACGATATTTTAATTTAGTGAATGCATTAATAATGGAGTCCACATCCATACCAATAGTATACACTGTTTCAAATAAAATACTTGAGCAATCGACTAGAAATCCATCGCTCATTTTGTTGCGCAAATCAATTTTCACATGTTTCATTGTTGAAAAGGTTCTATTCGTATTAGCTGTTGAAACGAGCAGAATCAACACTAGACAAATCAATCTACTAATCTATTTGCATTGTGTTTCCATCCCTATATCCACCAGCTGCTCTAGTAAATTTTCCAAGGTAACAAACCTCATATATGTTTTAGTCTTTTACGTTTTAAACTTTTTGAATTTTTAGGTTTCATTGCTTTTTTAGACGAATAACCTTTGGGGTTAGAATTTATAAGCTAAATTTAGAGTAGTGATTTTGAATATGTTCATCTGAATTATTTTTCTAATTATACCCAATCTTATTTTAAAATAACAACGACCCGAATATCTAAAATCGAAAAATTCATAAGGCCTATGCTAACTATGGATCCAGAGGAGGGCTGGGCCGGGGCCCGGAGTGGCCACCCCCTGGATCCGCCACTGGGCTTGAAGCAGGGAAGTGAAGATCAAGAAAGGGTGCCTTAAACCCAAGGTTGTCAAACCGGTTTGTGCCAGTGTGCCGGTTTAGCAAGTGGAATGGTTCGACCGGTGGTACATACCGGTTTGTGCCAGTTAATATTACAAATAATTTATAAATACTCATATTTAAGCACGACATTTAACGTCAATACCTAAATATTTGTACTTGCATCCAACAAATAACATCAACATTTAACTTTTTAACACATAAAATAAATAATAAATTACTTTTTATCAAATAAATTCACTAATATAAGATCATTTTACTTAGAGATTCGTATATCAATCATGCCGGTTATACCGGTGGTGTCATACCAATTTTATAACCGGTACAGATTGAACCAGGTTCAACCAGTGGTACGCCGGCCAGCGTGACAACCATGCTTAAACCAGAGATAGAAAAGTGAAAATAGAGAAACAGGGAACGTAGAGGGAGACGATGAGTTGGCGAGGCCGAACATGCAAATCGGCGGTCAAAAGTTAAGAGGGAGAAGAGAGATTATGTGGTTGTGTATTACGGTTGGGCTTCTTCTTTTCCTTTTACTGTCTATATGTGTTTTTTTTTTTTTTGGGTAAGATCTATCTGTTTCTTTTTCGTATGGAACAATAATTAAGGAAAATTTTATTTCCATATCACCAAAAATAATTAATACTAAATCTCGGGAAGAACAACAATTATTATTTAAAAATACAATTTAAAAAGGAATCATGCGCATGTATGATAATTAATGATTGTGAACTAATTAAATGAATACAATGTAGTGGTCACGAGGGATTTTATTTTTTTCACCAAGTTACTGCAAATCACTATATTTAGAGTGGCCGTAGCGGTGCGCGACAGCTCCACCCTAGTAGGGCTGGCAATAGGGATGGCAATGGGTCGGGTTGGGTTTTGCCAAACCCAAACCCAAACCCATGGGTTTATCCGTGAAAAAAACCCGGGATAAAACCCACTGGGTTTGAAAAACTCAAACCCAACCCAACCCGCCGGGTATCCGCGGGTTCATGGGTACCCACGGGTTTTTGTCGTATAAAATTACAATAATAAGTTCCTATCAAAATTAAAACCAAATATCAATCTCTCAATACAAATTATTCATATATAAAACACCATTCTAGAAATTCAAGCAAATCACAAATTAACTATACAAATTGTTCATCACCAATCTAGAAAACTCAAGAAAATTGAACCAAATCATAAATTATCCATAAATAACATGATTAATTGAAAACTTCTTCCTTTCAATTAAGTTTCTTCACTCTCCACTTGATAACATCAACTTCGTTCTACACAATCAGAAAGAAAAATTAGACATGTCTCCACAAACATAAATAAGATTAGTTGTTTAGAATATTAAATATACCGAGAAAATTAATTATATGGGTGTGGGCGGGTACCCATGGGTCGGGTTTACCTAAACCCAAACCCAACCCGATGAATAGTGAACGGGTTTAAACCCAAACCCGGCCCAAAACCCGTCAACACGAATTTTACCCGCGTTGACCGGGTTGGGTCGGGTGGGTACCCGTGGGTTCGGGTTTTGTTGCCATCCCTAGCTGGCAATGGAGCAGGTTTGGGGCGGGTTTGCCTAAAGTATCCCCACTTTCAAATATCTATACCCATACCCGTCCCATACCTATGCGGGGAAGGTTTTGCAAACCCATCCTCATACCCATGGGTTTCGGGTACCCATGGGTAATACCCGCCCCGTACATCCAACATTATAATACCGAATATTTACATGTAGATTTTTAATTAATACAGAATATTAGCAAATCGTGTTCTTTGAGAGGTATTATTGAGAATGGGTTGCGCGGTTTGGGGTTCCATTTCCATGGTCAAAAGGGTGAAAATATATATAGATCGAATAGGTGGAGTTGAAAGGATTAATTAGAAAGTGAAAATTTGAGTTTTTAAACAAAAGTGAGAGAAAAACGCAAAAAAAAGAAAAAAAAAGACACTTTTATTGAGAAGCCTCATATTTGCCATAGGCCCATAGCCTAAAAAATATTCACGTTGGGCTCAAGTTAAGGTGGATAACATAATTAAATATGTACATTTCTTTTTAAGTGGGTTCAGAAAATTAAGATCTAATGGTGAGGAACTAAATGCATTTTATTTTCTCTAGTTTTCTTAATAGCCTTTTATCTTCTTCGTTCTAACTTGTATTTCAATTTTTTTTTTGTATAGATGGAATGGAACGAGTTCGTTGTGCTCTAAAAATGATATCAATTTTCAATATTTTTTGAGAAAAAAATTCCATACCTCTCATTACCAACTCTATACCATATGATATCTCCTTCGTTTTTAAGTCATTTTTAAAAAAGTTTGCATAGAAAGAACGAGTTCATCATGATCTATTGGATCTACAAATTTTTGGGTGAACAAAATACGGGACCAAAAAATACCACACAATATCACCCTGGTATGGGGGGTGGTATCCTGTGGTACACAATGTTGAAAGTTGTAAATGACAGTTAATATACTTTTACTATCATGTATTCAACCACCCTACAGTTTTGGTATGTTCATACCACCATAGTACGCTTTCATAACATATGGTAATGCTCTTATTATAATACAAATCAATACCACCATGGTATAGACCGGTAAAAATGCCTCAAAATTCTTTGTTCAAAAATTATATCAATGTGGATATTATTTTGAAGAGCACAATTAATCTGTTTTATCTGTAACAAAAATTAAATTCCGACTTACAATGAGAGAG